GAATTTTTGGTGTGATTACATACTGTACCAGGCTTCCTCCGGAGGAAATAACTAACTACGTTTTGTGTTTCGAAAAGTCCGGAATCCAGCTGAAAACNTGACTAATAAATAAAGTGTTCGATTTTTTTGAACGAAGTTTGAGAGATGGTTTGGTAAGGTTTCTATGACATTAAAAGCACAGATCATCATAATTTTGAGGTATCCATTTAGAGTGAGTGATTAATGGGAGCTGTGATGCAGAATAGTGCATAGGGGCGGAGAAAGCGTAAAAATTGCTGGATTTACCTAACATAAGAATCGTAAAAGTGGGAAGAAAGGAGTTTGTACGAGATGGCCGTCTGGGTATCTCTCATTAAGCGTACTATTCGTCTCGTCCTGTAAATAGTACAGTAATCACAAGGCCGGTATAACACGGCCACTTCGAGTGTTTTCTTCGGCCAAGCCGGTTGTGAAGCCCTTATTACGCTTTGTTTAGACCATTTTTTGGTCTTGCATGCATATATACAACACAGAGGTTTGTTAAGTGATTCGGATGTCCCAGATTTGCTTTGAAGCTAATTAATAAAGTATATAAACAGCTTCAGAGAGGTGAGGGTGGCCCCAACACCTAACAGATCGATTTGGAATTTTTGGTGTGATTACATACTGTACCAGGCTTCCTACGGAGGATATAGTTTTGTGTTTCGAAAAGTCCGGAATCCAGCCGAAAACCGAACCATCTGAACCACATTCTTATACACCACCGGGAATTGCTGGAAAAGGGCAGTAAAAGGCAAGAATCAAAAAAAGAAGTTCACAATGAATTTGTTGACGCGTCACACTTCCCACCTGCTCGTAGAATGCCAGACCCCTGTCCCAACAGGTAGCAGTCCACACACGTAGCTTTTCTTCAACCCAATGAAAGAATTGTGACGTTTTATCTACGACCAGGTGGAGGTCTGATCCCTAAGACATCAGAAAATACGCCATCAGGAATGTGTCGGTACAAGACCACTACTTAACAGCCTTGGCATTATCACATTAGGGTGGGTCCTCTTGCACTCATGAGACCTCCATGAAAGAAATACAAGCACCTGGTTCTACCCTTTCTTCCTAGAAGTAGAAAACCGTCGTGCATCAATTTCGGACGGCTGCGAAGCGCAATTGTCCAGCGCAGTCGATTAAAGGGACGACTTGTGCCGGTCCCGGCGTGATTACTTAGGCCGAGACGTCACACTCGATTCGAGAAGCTCTGCGAGCTCTTGGAAGAGTTTTTACGATTTTTTCTTTCGGTTAAGTTCTTTTTCCCTTCCAGTTCGGTTTCACTATTGTAAGGTATACGTTTGACTTGCTTTTGAACGGGCTATGTGCGAAGATTGGTTTTGCTGGAAGGTTTTCACTCATTAGGCGTTTTTTCGCGAATTTCTCTGTCTGCATGCAAAAATAGTCCTCATTTTGCTTGACTAAAGGCATTTTCCTGTATGTATAGGCATTTGCTCAGTTGCTTTCGACACGTTCGGACAATTGACTTGGTGTTAGCCTTTTGCAAGTGTCCAGCTCGAGTTTTCTATCGTTAGGCGTGTGCCAAACTTTCTTTTTCTATGTTTGTAGTTCTGTTCGAAATTCCGATTTGTTACAGGTAAATAGGGTAACTTTTTCTCTGAACCGCAGTTATGGCTACCATGGCTCAGTTGATGTTTGACGAGTTCGGGCAACCGTTCATCGTCATGCGTGACCAGGAGAAACAGAAAAGGCTCACTGGGATCGAAGCTCTGAAGGTGCTCTGTAGCGATATTCTTCGATCGTTTCTCAACATGAACTTGATTTTCTATGCTTACTAGTACTTTTGAGACGGGTAATTATTTTGTTACATTTTAGAGTCATATACTCGCTGCTCGTTCCGTTGCGAACACCCTTCGCACCTCGCTTGGCCCTCGAGGTCTCGATAAAATGCTGGTATGTAAAATGCTTCAGACCAGAGCCGTATGCTTTGTTTGTTCAATTTACCTGGTGATTCAGTCATTTTGGGTAGTAAGACAGCTCAAAGTTTGATGCAAGTTTTGTCTGCGAGTATTTCGTACAGGAATACTGTGTACGGTATACCGGAACTAATTTCCATACCAGGGATGGACTTGAGCAGTTGATTTGACTACTGTTGACACTGCTTGCTAGTGACACCAGGGTTGGGACATTTAATGTCTCCAGTTTTTGACAAACATTTAATCTTTTAATGCTGAAAATCGAGCCAAGTCTTTAATCTTTTAATGCTGAAAATCGAGCCAAGTCCTCTTTGATATCTTCTTTTTTTTTACCCCTGGAAAGATTTTGTAATGGAAAAATAAATCAGGGTCCTAGTGTACGAAGTTAGAGGCATGCTGTGGATACTGCAGAATTTCCCAACTTAGTTCTGCAATTTTTTCACGAGTTCCCAAAGCAGCATGGGGCTGGCATCATCATGAAGAAGTGGGATGTCGTTCGTATTGAACATCGCCCGCCAAAAGTGAATCAAATTTGTTTCAATTAATTTCCTAGGCCTGTATATCGAAGGGCCCATTTTGCCCCATATAGTTATGTGTTTATGGGTTGAAGAAAGATAGAAACGGACGGAATTTTTCGTAGGCTTATACTTATGCGGCTGACGACCAAAAATGTGTTATGTCGTGACATTGTCAAGGACAGTCCAGATTTTTTTGGGAAGTGTAAGCGACTGTTCCTTCTTGGGAATTTTCTTGCTTGGAATCAACTCATTTCCTCGCTAGTTTCTATTTATGAACTGATTGTTAGTGCAGGTCTCTCCCGATGGTGAAGTCACTATTACTAATGATGGTGCTACAATCATGGAGAAAATGGACGTTCAACACCATGTTGCCAGGCTCATGGTTGAGCTGAGCAAGTCACAAGACGCGGAAATCGGCGATGGAACTACTGGAGTTGTTGGTAAGTGGTTCGTTGTCTTCTGCTCAACCCAGAGATGTTTCAATATGGAATCGTTGTCAATGTGATAAATAAAAACTCCCACTACGCAAAGAATCACAAGAATCTGTAGGAATACATCAAACTTTAACTCCAAACACTCTTAAGTCGGAGAAGAAACTGTTCTCAAGATAGTGGGCCTTTTTCATGGAGAAGTCCAACGCGCTGATTTACACTGTCTAAAAGCTTTTGAAATAAGATTAAAGGCAGGTTGTTAATCCGTCGAAAATTTCGTGACAAAAGCCAAGAGACAATCAGCCAAGTTGGAATTGCTTTCCTCTCGAAATTGTTTTCCACAGAATCTTGCATTTCGCTACGAGAAGTAATATTTCGTTTCACGGCCTTTATTGCATAGATGTTTCGCAATGTTCCTTGAGTATGATGGGAGCTTTTTGTGTAGAAATACAGAGAACTCTTTTTGGAACATCTGTTTAAATGGATCACCTTTTCGTATATAAGAAGCGGATACAATTTTGAAGAGGTTTCTAGAGAAGATTGCTAGAAAGGAGGGCGAATTAAGGGTGCGTGCTTTCCAGGTTCATTTTTTTCTGTTCCCTTTTGTTGGAGAGAGTTTCGCAAGATAATTGTTGAAATGTTTTATAGCTTATTTCGCTTTTTTTCATTAAACCGTTATAATCATGTGATTTGTAAAATTGTGAATTAATTTGTTGCCCAACTTCAAAAAAAGTTACTTTCGTCATTCCCTTTGTAGTTTCCGGCCGATTCGATTTTGCTCTCTTATAGAGGCATTTTCCAATCGGCGAGTCGGTTCAAAAAAATCATTTCATAACACTCTTCAGTTAAGTTTCGGCTTGTTTGTTGACATTGTCTCATGTAATGCTAGGACAAGAAATCATAGCAATATCCTTGATATTCCCTTCGAAACTCGCAAAGGTCTTTGATATTACCTTCATACAATATAGTTCCTCTTTTCGTTGATTCTCTCTTGGCACTACATGCTGAATCTAAATAGAAAGGGCACCGAGAATGATAATCCTATGCTGTACTCAATCGTCGATCGAAGGACCTTAATCTCTTCTTCCGTTTTTTTATGGAGAGATTATCCCCTCACGAGCTGGATCCCGCGCAAGTTATGGTCGNGCCATATGGTACTAATCTGAGTGATTTTAGTTATGAGCTATTTGATTACTTAACTGTCGTTGTCAGAAGTTTTCGGTTTTTTTATTATCGAAAAAATAAGAAAACAAAGAAAACGAACTTGAATGTTCTACCTATAGAGCAGGAGTTTGAGTGACTTTTCTGCCTTTCTTCCAGTTTCTTCGTCTTATTGGGCTCTTATCTTCACTTCGACGCAATTGCTTTGCCCTCGTGCAGATAGGGAGATTTTTCACCCATCACATCGTTGAATTACTTCCTCCTTCTTATATCGAAGGTGTAAAAAACAGCGTCACTGATAGGGCTTTTCACCATTTGGATCAACTTTCCTTAAATACAAGGTTTCGGAGTGATTTTTTGGTAAGAGAACTTGGTTGAGGATCTGCTGAAATTACACGGGCAAGCTTGGCCACCATTAGAAGCTCTACGAGTAGTACAACAATGCTAGTTGTTATATCTTATGTAATCAGTAAGTTTTTTAGCAGAAAAATATGGGTGTCTGCCAATCTCTGATACCACTTATTTCTAAATTCGCTAATCTAGGCAATCTGTTTCATCAAGATGCTTCGGTTTATTCCTCCAACTTCATCGTAATCAAATGTGCACTCCCAGTCAGACGATCATTCACTTTCACGTTTTTTTTCCNTTACTCTATGCTTCGTTTTACTGCCTACTCGGGATCTTGATATCAATTTAATAGGCGCTATGACTCGCTGAGCTTTCACTCAATGGATTGGATAAAGAGCTACTTTGTTTTTTCTTCAGCCTAAACATAGGAGAAGTACTACTGCTCAAAGTTAGGCCGTATGCAGATCAGCTTTTTCCGTGGGCTTAATGAGGAGCATCTTGCAGAAGTTGAGGAATTCTGTTGAGGAAAACAGTTGAGGAAAACATCTTTTGAAAGAGAAATGTAAGGAGCACTACCCCCTTTCCCCTCCCCCCATTACGCCATTCTTTATTCCAGATGATGATGTGTTTTAGCAACTTTTACGAATTGCTTTGAACTTTCCAATATTTTTGATCGATTCTTCGCGAAAGCGTAAACACGACTTTCTAAGTATAACCCCTATATCACTCACATTCGCTTTTCTAATCCCAATTCTTGCAAGTGTCTGCATTGATTCGATATTTTCCTTAATTTCCTTTTTTTCTACATTTTTAGATATGTCTATAGTTAACTTTGATAAATAGGACGCTTGGCCTCTGAGTTCAGTCAGCTTTGTAAATTCTAGTTACATACTAGTACCAGAGTTGTCAGTTCTAAACAGATCGATGGAGATAGCTGCTCCGAGAGGAGCTCGTTCTTTCCTTCACATCTGTCGTATCTCATTTCCCCCATTCCTTGTCACCTTTCGCTTTTGCGCAGTGTCGGTGAGAGCCCGATGAATGTCAAATGAGCTGTCCTTTTTGTTTAATGTTGGCTGATATGCAAATGTTGTTGCTTTCATCGCCGCCTCAGCGACGAATGACATTTGTTTTGTGTTCGTTTCATTTCGGGCGCAGTGCGAGTTGAATTTTTTGTCATGATGATCTCTTTGGCTTTGCACTGAATGGAAACAGACAAGAGGAGAGGATTACTGAGTTGTTTTACCCTTGTAACAGTCCCTATGATGCTGTTAGGACAGATGCATCATTGGGTTTCGGGGTTTATTGAAAAAGTTGATTAATTAGCAGTTTTTCAATGAGGTTGACCTGTCAGCAAATCTACTCGCTAACTTATCAGCGAACTAGAGGAGCAACACTGGTATTTTTCAAGTTGCTCGGTGGCACTTTGAAAATTCGGCGAATGATCTAGTTGGTCGAATATTGAAATTTGAAAGAGCTGAAAGTTCAGCGAAGCTGTTAATAGTGGTCGGTTGAGGGACTCGTCATCGGTTAGTTCTTAAGGAAAGTTTCATAGGCACTAGGGCGCAAATAGGAGGTGGATTCCCGTAAAAAAAGGATATTCATTTCTTTGGCAGGTTTTGAGCCCACTACAGTGGGAATGGACATCTCTTTTTCAGCGATTGATGAGTGAATGAAGTGAATGTGGATACCAGATGCTTGACGGTGTCAAAAGTAAGGGCACGATCCAATGACCAACCTTCTTTGTTGTTCACTTTATTGATAAATGTATCCGGAAAGTGGAAGTGGAGGGTGTACTGGAATGTGGTGCGAAGCAAGGGCTCGTATAACTTAGCCCTGTGATCTAAATTTCCCAATGACCCTACATTTTTGGATTTCTCTGTTCGCTCTTTGAACTGTTCCCAGTCTTCTGAAAACTTTTTGGAAGTTCTAGCGGACACGTTCCACCGGCAACCTCTCCTCCCCTCGCGTTCCCTCTTCAGCTATCCATCGTTCAGTGTGTAGGATTGGCACCTGCGATATTTCTTAGCTAAGCAGAATCTCTCTCTCACTGTCTATTTCTTGTACGCCGTTAACTTTCTATTGTCACAACTGTTTGTTTTACGTCACTGCTCGCAACGGTTGGTGATTTTGAAAACCGTTATTTCTCTCACTGTTCGCGTAATGTATCGAAAAATTCGAGAGGAATTTGTATTTCACTGAAACAGCGAGTGGGTGTTCACGAACGGCACGTTCTCACAGCACCCCCGGTTGCATACGAGGTTATCATCGATGGAAACTGAGGTACAGCTGTCACGTGAATTGCAACTGAAACGGCTTATGAAGGTTTTTGCGGGCGACAACCGCTGGCACGTCACTGATAACACCCCTCTACTTGTTTGAAAGGCGAGTTCCTCGATTTGTGATATTGCTACGTATCTGCTGTCCATGATGGAATTCGTTCATTGGACAACATCAGGACTGTGTACTCGTCATCTTTGGTTCCGGTTTCATTCGCCTCACGGTTTAATCCAGTTTATTCCAGGAGTGTGACTTTAAGTTTTACCAGTAGAGCTTTTCACAGATTGTAACTCCTGTCTTACCCCTGTTCTGCGATATTTTATGTGCGTTCTGGTCCAGATGGATTTCAAGGCACTTCTTGACAATCTTGGTTTTGCTCGCCAGTTATACGAACTCCGCACCTTCTTGTTATGTCGCATTTCATGCTGTCATGCGTATGTATGTGGTGCATGCTTCCTTTTTTTGTCTGGGCCTCTTTGTATCGATTGCCGAAGGGAGGGGTTACTCGGGTGTGTTGCCACAGCGTACTAGATTGGCATGCGCTTCAGTGCTTATTATATTTTATGACCGTTGGGCCCACTAGACCGACTCATCTTCTCCACAGATCGTCGTTATCGGTCCTGCTGCTAGCGTTTGTACATGATTTCATTTCTGTTTAATTTCGGTTTTTGCCCTGCGACGTTGTCGTTGTCTGATCGAGCGCTATGAATTTGTGAGCGGAGAATTACGAATCAAGCGAAGTTTTGCATTTCGTTGGGATTTTTCAAGCTAGAATTAATGCTCAGAGAAAGAAAAGAAGTTTATATCATTGTTGGACTTGCTATGATTGTTTTTGAACCTGAATGCCAATTGAACTCAAAAAGTTTCCACTGTCAGTGCTCACGATCTCCGGATTGGGGCAAATCGAACTATTTTCCGTGAGTCTGCCGTCTGATGGAGATTCTCAGGTTTGATCCGTCATCCGCAGCCGGGGTTAATGGTGGCGATAAAATTCGGCGCGAGCCTCGTTGACCGCGGTGTGTATTGGCTAAAAGTGCATCGCTGCAATGGCGGAGCCATGGCTACGGCTCGCCACTCGTGAAATACCCGACGGTTCGGCCCACAAATTTCCTTTTTCTCAAAATGTAACTGCGCAACGGCTCCATAGTAAGGGGTTTTGGAACATCTTTTATGTTATGGCAAAGACAGGTTTCTGTTGAAAATGCAATAAAACGTAATGTTTAACAACATAAATATCCCAAAAAGCTCGTCAAATAGAAAGACGTCTCGGTCAGACATCAGAAATTTTGATGGCACCATTCTGAGATTTTTTGATTTTTCCAGCAACAGGTATCTGTCCTTCCTCAAGTGAGGTTTTTTGAAGATTTTTTCCAAGCAGATACTGTGCTTTAGAATCTTCTCATTTTTTGAAATTTCTTTCTTTATCAGCGTTTTTTCTTTCGGACAAAGTGAATCTTTCCGAGCTTTTGACTCGACGTTTTTTATTAACTGCTGTTATTTTGTCGGAGCAGGTCATGCGAAAGTCTCAGGTATGGGCTCGAGGCCGTCTCGTCCAAGGTCGAAGTTTTGTCCACAATCAGCCGTCCTTGTGGATATCCGGGCTTTTTTATTTAAGACCTTTCAACTTCAAGTCACAACATGCCATTGGCGAATGTTGTCGACTTGCTCACCTCCAAAATGCAAAGGAACTAAATAATGTAATGCCAGAATCTGAGCATGGGAATATAGAATGCATAAGTAAGAGTGCCCAGGCGCAGGCGCGAACTTTTACGGAACATGCGTTCGACTGCCCTTGTCCTTTCCATTTTCCGAGGATCAGTTCTCCCTCCCATTCTCATAAAAAGCTCTCAACCCCTTTCAAATGTTGTGCGGTTTATCCATAAGGCATATTTTTTATACGACGTGTCATACAATTGTAAGATCCTTGAACCTAAAATTGTGTGGGTGACAGGGTGTTGATTGATAGCGTGTCGAGTTGGGTAATCGAGAACNCCTGAGCTAATGTGAGTACAGCAGTAGAAAACAAAGAACCAGGACTTTGTAATCAGCGGGGAGTTTTGTGGCTCAAGTTTGATATGTCTCGTTTTCATCCGTTACGTTCATAATTTCAATTTTTCTCCAAATTGTTGGTATTTATTTCGACGAATTCAACGAATTTATCAAAGTTCTAACTTTTCTCCTCCAAAGTCTGTGCGATTAAAGACCTATGTTACGGTACCTCAATTGCTTAACGGAGTCGGTCATTCAATCAAGGTTTTGTCGGTGAATGCGCTATTGGTAACCTTGGCGTTTTATGAGTGTTGCGAGCAATCCTGTAGTTCCAACCGGTTTTCGGTTCATTGTTGTAAATCATCTTCCATGTAAAGATCCTCTTGAAAAGCATAAGTATCTTTTTTTTTTTGAAAAACTTCAACTCTCGAAGAAGTGTTCCCCATCTGGTCATTACCGTTTGTTGCGAATGGTAAATAGGTCGAAGTCAACGAACTTGCTTGAAAGAGCTTCCAGATAAGTTGCTCTCTTTTGATTTCCCTCAACTTTGCTCGTTCCCGCAGCTCCATGCTCAGGTTGCCAAAGGCTCTAGGAAGACGGTCTAACCAGGCCGTCATAGTGTGTGTTTCTGGTTTTCAGCAGTTGTGGGAAATTTAAAGCTCCGATGGATTTAACCCCATTTTTCTGCTCTCTCTTTTCAACTTTCTATGACCTCTTCTTATAGTTTTGATAGGTGGAGACGTGACGCGTTTTTTGGGCATCAAACCATCTTCCACTCTGGTTCACACTTTTTTCACCNCTGTGTGGTGCTTTCTTGTCACGTGTCCGGCGGTTCCACGATGTCTCGCAACACTTCCTCACCATGGATTTATTACGGGGTACTGCACTCTCCCTATTTTAAACTTTTACACATCCTCGTGAAAGTCCTCAGGCCTTTTTTGTAGTGCAAGCTTATCAGTGATGCTACAAGCCTGAATTTCGATCGGTCCCGGTCTTCAGCTTCTCCACCAATTTTTTTGTTCGACTTTTTGTATAACTATGTTTGACTCTTTGTGTCCTTTAATGCCTCCTCTTTGATATGGTTCTATTTGCATTTCATTCTATTTGTATTCGTTTTATGGGCCGCTCTACAATGCAAGTGCAAAGACATGTTTCGAAATTTTTGTGGAAATGCATTTGGCATTGATGGCTGTCCAGAGCCAGTTTGGATGATGTTATGGGATAATGGTTTCTGAATTTAGCTCACTACATACTCTCTAATTTCTAATGTGACATTGAGACTGTTTACTTTGGTTGCATGGCAAATCACTCACGGTAATTAATCCGTTTATCAAGACATACGTGTTGATTGCCATAAAGCCACATACTTCATAAAAGTAGCTAGAAATCACAAAATATATTGTACAGGTTTTGGTAGGGTCTTTCAGATTTCATTTTCTCTCGTTATTATAGAAGGATGACCGTTGGTGTTCTTCGGCCAATGGGCTTTCGGAATTATGGGCATAGAAGTATTGTCAATTTCAAGGGAGGCTGGTTTCCGTGAGGTGTCGGGAACTCCCAATCTAGCGAACAGCTTCCTTGAGAGACAGGTCGACATGTACTGAAGCCAGTGGCCCCAGGCCCGATTTCATGTATCTGGCGGTGTAGCTGTGATTAGACGTCATCCCCCTTGTCCATCCATATTGTCCGCATATCCCCGCGTACTCAAACGAAATCCACTGCCCACTCTTAATCAGAGAAACTACTGACAATTCGATTCAGCGCAAAGAAGTGTTAGGTTGAGTAACTGCAATAATTATTACAGGTTCTATTTATCTGTTCCAAGTGATGTTCGAAGAGCGAGCGCTGTGTTAGTGTCTAGTGATTCAGCTACACCCATTTCAAAAAGAATGATTAGATTGATTACAAGGCCACAGGTGTCCAGAGGTTATGTAAGGTGTTCGGCGTGTTTCGCGTCACCTGCGGCGTCCTCGTCAGCATTGGCGGCCGGCAGGCAGTGGCTGGGGTCGGCGGCGGCATATAGAGGTGAGATATTTCTTATTGCCCAGTGCTATCGATTTCGTGGCAGCGCAGCATTTTTTCTGTCCTCGCTTTTTTGCAGTAGGTGGTGTCCCGTGTGGATGGGCACGTCTCAACATTGCATCAACAGGTATTAGGTTGTTCGGTCGCTGTGTACCGTCATATCACGTCATGTGATCGTTCACGCTCACTCGGTACTCTCCCACCTTTGCGTAACCACGTTGCTCAGTTACGATTGTATCCATCTGAAACCTTATCCATTTTCTGACTGTACCATATCAGTAAGTCCCTGCTGTTCATATCGATCGGGTAGGCCAAGTGCAGAGGTTTCCGTTTACGAGGCGCCCTTTCTGGGGCTTTTTTTCTGTGCTGTGCTGCTCTCTTATCGCTGGCATTTGCAAGGCTGTAATGGAACTGCTCATTAGGACGGCGGTGTTGCACATTGAGCAAAGCCATATTTGCGGCATTGCAGTCCACCCCTAATGGAACTACTTCACTTCCTGGGGTGTGGGACGTTAGTCTCGAATGACATTGCTTCGCGCCGAGGTGCNNGCACCTCGGCGCGAAGCAATGTCATTCGAGACTAACGTCGCACACCCCACTTCCTGAGCACTGTCCTAAACCGATGGAATCTTGAAATCAGGAAATCAAGCATTGTTTTGTTCGGAAAACGGATCGAGACAATTGACAGGCGCTTCAACCATGGATCTTCATAATTGGCCCGTCGGCTGTCTGCCTTCATTGTCTGTAGCGTTGTGGATTTTATTTCAGAAGAACAACGGAGAAATGGCACGCTCTTCGAACCATTCAAATCGTGAATTTTATGAAGATTTTGACGAAATGTGAAGTGTGATGGTTCAAAAAGTGATAAAAGACGACATTCAATAACAGAAACTTTTACAAATGTTGTATCGATGCCTCACTAGGATTGAGGCGATCGTAAGAGTCCTTTTTTCACCGAAATTCTGAAAAAACTTAGTACTTGATGGAGGGATCCACAGAACGCAGAACTTCATCCTTACTGAATTTAAAATTCTTACCCATTATTTTTGTTCTCCCCTCTACTACTCTCCCATCCTTCTCTTCACAAAGATCGTACTTCAGCTATCCTTTTATTTTAGTAACAAGCTTAAGGTGTTGCTTCATGACTCGTTCCACCCCTCAAACAAAGGCAACGTCCTGCTCCCTCAGTATGACGCCGTCACTTCACCGACTTCTCTATGAAATTAGCCTAAAACGCTCACATGTCGCGTGTCATGTCGTGTAGCGCGCTAAACCTCTCCCAATCACCGGCAATCGGCGGATTGCCCGTCGCTGGTGAGCTTATCTCTCAGTTAAGCTGTCTACGTCTTGATTTGATGCATCGACACATCGTAGCTCAAATACTAGTAATTGTAAAGCGCTGTCCGCTCACTATGGTAAAATGAAACTTTGAGCTTACAGCTGGTGATTTAACGGCTAATATTCGTCCACTGCTCTATATTTTGTCATCGGCGGTCGTTGGAATTTGCGAGACCAGCTGCGCCTTCGCATGTTTTTGTGTCCCATGTTGCTGCTATCGCCTTTCACCGCGTTCACGCTTCAACAACTAAATTCTTCACTGACCATTCGTCTCCTGGCTCGATGTCGAAGTGGGGCTTGACGCGGTTTTTTTCAAGTAGTAGGTGACTTGTAGAAATTTCGCTGTGCAGGTGCACGTTTATTCATTTTATCTCCAACAAATTAGCGTCTCCACTGTTTTCTATTGATTAGTGTTATCAGGCTGTTCAACAGTGTTCCCGTTCCGATCACATCGTAAACACATTCATTTCTCTCACTGATTTCGATCATTTCATTCGAGCGTTTTTGTTGCAGTCCTTGCGGGAGCACTTTTGGAGGAAGCCGAACGTCTACTGGACCGTGGTATCCATCCGATCAAAATCGCTGATGGTTTCGACCTTGCTTGCAAAAAGGTACTTCACTGATTCCCCTATCATTAGCATGATCGCTGTTCTCGAATGACCAGCCCCGTAATCGTCGTAATAATGGCCGTCTGGTTGTTAGTGGAATGCACGTGTTGTACTTTCTTCGTGATATCGATTTTTTGGGCGGCAGTGGGAACTTGCAGAAATGAGATGGATTTTGTGATGAATATTTCCTTCCTCGTTTTCAGGCGCTTGAAACTCTCGACAAAATCGCCGACAAGTTTCCGGTCGCCGATCGTGAACGCCTCGTTCAAACGGCACAGACGTCGTTAGGAAGCAAAGTGTCAGTGATGTTAGCTGGTTGGCACAGCTTTCACAAATGTCTGGACATATTTGCAGAGTGAACAGATGTATCCGGAAGTTTGCCGAGATCGCGGTAGACGCAGTACTGTCGGTAGCTGATCTGGAAACCCGTGACGTGAACTTCGAACTGATCAAAGTGGAGGGCAAGGTATGCAAGGCTTTGGTTATATTTATCAGATCATGCAGCCATGATTGCCAATCAGCGCATATTTTCGCGCTATATTGCTTCGAACTTTTCGGACAATAAGATCGCTGTGGAAATGATTCATGTGATGAACGTCCTAGCAGGGAAGGGCTGTTGCCTTGGAGACCATAAGAGGAAATCGGCGAGGTGTTTTAGCGATGGCTTTCTGATCGCTCCAGATGGCCTTTGATCATGTAATCCGGCTGTCTTATAGCAGTGCTCCAGCTATTCAGTTGCCTTATGAATGCCTATCAGAAAAACACGGCTTGGAGGGGGCAGATGTAATACTTTTAATAAGGTTTGGAGCAGTGCATTATAGAAGTACAAGAAACCTAAGAAGTTGTAGAGGCGGAATGTTGAGTAGATGCGAATTAAAATCGTCCCTGGTTCTCGGTTAATGCCGCTCAGTATAAGCCTTGGGCTCCTCTGATTGTGAGATCGAAAAAAGGTTCACAATCCTATGCAACTTCCCAGTCTTGTCAAGTTTTTAAAAACGCTGTGGTAAGACAGTTTCATAACAAGTGCCCGAATGTCCTTCAGATTCATCAGTATATCAGTTGATGTGCGACTCATTCACCCCTTTGTCATGAAGATGGTCTTCTCCTCTCAAAGTGACCGACTACATCGACTGTTTTTGTGTGGGGACACGTGTATATGCCCTAGTTTGCAGTATTCTGCTGAAAGGTCTTCCATAATAGTAGTTACCAAAAACAGGCTGCATGCGTGTATCGACTATTTTGAAATTATCATGGCTATTCTTTGTCTATTGTCTGAGATTATTGTTTATAGTTTAATCAAAACGGAGTTGCTCCAGACCATTTTTAAGCTTGCGGCATTGACCGCAACAGCCAAGAGACTATTCGATTCGGCAAAACAAACTCGCAGAGAATGTGCCTCCTCTTAGATTAGATTAAGACCCTGGGCCGAAGAATCCGAATTGTTGGATAAGCCGTTTTGGTATGGGATAGTCTATGATTACAAAGAACACACTGAAATGACACAAGAATGGTCCAAAATGGATTGATGAAGTCAAATAGAAGAATATTCAAAGTTTTCCTTTGCAGGTTGGTGGACATTTGGAGGACACGGTTCTTGTGAAAGGAATCGTCATCGACAAGACTATGTCACATCCTCAAATGCCAAAAGAATTAAAGGATGTAAAGGTACGTTCTTTGGAATGATTCAATATGTTCCAAGGACAGCTGCGGCTGTGATTCACAAACTGATGACAAATTGTTAATTGTTTTAAATAGTCGAGGCCTTGAAATGCTAGAATGGTCGGTATTTTTTCTGCCGCTGTGTCACATGTCTCTTCCTTTCATTCCTTAATTTTTCTTTTTGAAATTAGTTCTGTCTGCAGTTCATGTTGTTATGAGATGCACGTCATTCCCCTATTAATATGATCGCTTTCTTGTTTAAGGTCGCCATTCTCACCTGCCCATTCGAGCCACCTAAGCCCAAAACCAAACATAAGCTCGATATAACTTCTTCAGAAGATTTCAAAGCGTTACGTCAATATGAGAAGGAAACGTTCGAAAATATGATCAAGCAGGTATTAATTGTTTGCACATTCTGAAATGAATATATTATTTTTTGTAGTTTAGTTGCTTAGTTTGAATTATCAGTTGTGTAATTGTTGTTTTTATGTAATTGCTCTTTTCCTTTTTCCCTACGGTTCCAATGTAGAGAAAAAACTCATCAGTTTTCAATATTCCAAAGATTTTGACCTGAAATTGTTTTTGGCTAAGTTTGCAGTTGAACGGACCTGTGGAACTTGGTCCGAGTTTAGCATGAATTCTCTTCATAACAGTAAATATTTAGACACTAATTATTACAAGTGTTGAGAATAATGGACATCTTTCCATCAAGCTCCACGTATGACCTTAGTTACTGCGAGGAGATGCTGTATTCAAGAAATTCTTCCTGTCAGACAGAGCACGTCTAGAAGGAATTTAATTAGGAACGTGAATACGGTTTCTTAGTTCGGTTT